GCTGACAGCTAAGGGTGATCTGCTAACAGCACTCCAGCAGCTGGGGAACTAGTCCTGTATCCCAAAGGAAACTCTGGGTGATACATGGCAGCTGTTGCTACATGTTATTTTCTGCACTGGGCCAGTGATAGAGAGCTCTGATCACTATCCTTAAGTTTGTGGCTGGACATAGGGTTTGTTGCTCCTGTTGATTTTCTGTTTTTTAGATCAACATATTCAAGGGTAAGATTGAATATGGGGAGTCTTCTCTGAACACACAAGGCAAGATTCCAACAAGAAGTGCAGAGTTCTCACCCTGTCCTATCCCATTGTGTCTGGCTCCAGCCAACTTGCTCAATTTAAACTCTCTTGCTTTAAGACTGAGCTGCCACCAGTAAAGACATTATTGCTGATAGTATTAATGATATGACTATAATTTATTGAGCATCACCACTTTTCTGTTATTTTACATATTTTATTTCATTGAATGTTCACAACCACTCAATGTGGTAAGAATTACTATACTGCTAAATATCTTGCCCCAAATCTACAAACTACTAGAAAGCAAAGTCAGAATCGAACTCTTGTGCTTTTTCCACCATTCTGTGCCATCCACCTCCTGTTCACTAGGGTCTCATTCAGCTCAACAGAGCCATTATTATGTAGCACATTCACTCTATATGCTCTGTACAAAACGAGACTGTCAAGTGCAATTTCAATTTTAAAAAAGAATTTGGAGGAAAATATTTAGAAATATTTACTTTGGTTATCTCCAGAATGCTAGGGGTATAGGTGATTTTGTTTTCTTTTATACTTTTCAGCATTTTCTAAAAAATTTTGCAAAAACATGCAGGCATAAGTAGGAGAAAGCCTCTTTTTTTTTTTTTACTTTATTATTATTATTTTTCAGTTTTATTTATGTATTTATTTATTTTCTTTACAATATTTTATTGGTTTTGCCATACATTGACATGAATCCACCATGGGTGTACATATGTTCCCCATCCTGAACCCCCCTCCCACCTCCTTCCCCATCCCATCCCTCTGGGTCATCCCAGTGCACCAGCCCCGAGCACCCTGTATCATGCATTGAACCTGGACTGGTGATTCGTTTTACATATGATAATGTACATGTTTCAATGTCATTCTCCCATATCATCCTGCCCTTGCCCTCTCCCACAGAGTCCAAAAAACTGTTCTTTATATCTGTGTCTCTTTTGTGTCTTGCATACAGGGTTATTGTTACCATCTTTCTAAATTCCATATATATGCGTTAGTATACTGTATTGGTGTTTTTCTTTCTGGCTTACTTCACTGTATAATGGGCTCCAGTTTCATCCACCTCATTAGAACTGATTCAAATGTATTCCTTTTAATGGCTGAGTAATATTCCATGGTGTATATGTACCACAGCTTTCTTACCCATTCGTCTGCTGATGGACATCTAGTATGTTTCCATGTCCTGGCTATTATAAACAGTGCTGCGATGAACATTAGGGTACACGTGTCTCTTTCAATTCTGGTTTCCTCAGTGTGTATGTCCACAGTGGGATTGCTGGGTCATATGGCAGTTCTATTTCCAGTTTTTTAAGGAATCTCCACACTGTTCTCCATAGTGGCTATACTAGTTCGCATCCCCACCAACAGTGTAAGAGGGTTCCCTTTTCTCCACACCCTCTCCAGCATTTATTGCTTGTAGACATTTCGATAGCAGCCATTCTGACTGGTGTGAAATGGTACCTCGTTGTGGTTTTGATTTGCATTTCTCTGATAATGAGTGATTTTGAGCATGTTTCATGTGTTTGTTAGCCATCTGTATGTCTTCTTTGGAGAAATGTCTGTTTAGTTCTTTGGCCCACTTTTTGATTGGGTCGTTTATTTTTCTGCAGTTGAGCTGCAGGGGTTGCTTGTATATTTCTGAGATTAATCCTTTGTCTGTTGCTTCATTTGCTATTATTTTCTCCCAATCTGAGGGCTGTCTTTTCACCTTGCTTATAGTTTCCTTTGTTGTGCAAAAGCTTTTAAGTTTCATTAGGTCCCATTTGTTTATTTTTGCTTTTATTTCCAATATTCTGGGAGGTGGGTCATAGAGGATCTTGCTGTGATTTATGTCAGAGAGTGTTTTGCCTATGTTCTCCTCTAGGAGTTTTATAGTTTCTGGTCTTACATTTAAATCTTTAATCCATTTTGAATTTATTTTTGTGTATGGTGTTAGAAAGTGTTCTAGTTTCATTCTTTTACAAGTGGTTGACCAGTTTTCCCAGAACCACTTGTTAAAGAGGTTGTCTTCTTTCCATTGTATATCCTTGCCTCCTTTGTCGAAGATAAGGTGTCCATAGGTACCTGGATTGATCTCTGGGATTTCTATTTTGTTCCATTGATTGATCTATATTTCTGTCTTTGTGCCAGTACCATACTGTCTTGAGGACTGTGGCTTTGTAGTAGAGCCTGAAGTCAGGCAGGTTGATTCCTCCAGTTCCATTCTTCTTTCTCAAAAATTGCTTTGGCTATTCGAGGTGTTTTGTATTTCCATACAAATTGTGAAATTATTTGTTCTAGTTCTGTGAAGAATACTGTTGGTAGCTTGATAGGGATTGCATTGAATCTATAGATTACTTTGGGTAATATAGTCATTCTGACAATACTGATTCTTCCAGTCCATGAACCTGGTATATTTCTCCATCTGTTTGTGTCCTCTTTGATTTCTTTCACCAGTGTTTTATAGTTTTCTATATATAGGTCTTTTGTTTCTTTAGGTAGATATACTCCTCAGTATTTTATTCTTTTTATTGCAATGGTGAATGGTATTGTTTCCTTAATTTCTCTTTCTGTTTTCTCATTGTAAGTGTATAGGAATGCAAGGGATTTCTCTGTGTTATTTTATATCCTGCAACTTTACTATATTCATTGATTAGCTCTAGTAATTTTCTGGTGGAGTCTTTAGGGTTTTCTATGTAGAGGATCATGTCATCTGCAAACAGTGAGAGTTTCACTTCTTCTTTTCCTATCTGGATTCCTTTTATTTCTTTTTTGCTCTGATTGCTGTGGCCAAAACTTCCAAAACTATGTTGAATAGTAGTGGTGAGAGTGGGCACCCTTGTCTTGTTCCTGACTTTAGGGGAAATGCTTTCAATTTTTCACCATTGAGGGTAATGCTTGCTGTGGGTTTGTCATATATAGCTTTTATTATGTTGGGGTATGTTCCTTCTATTCCTGCTTTCTGGAGGGTTTTTTTTTTTATCATAAATGGATGTTGAATTTTGTCAAAGGCTGAGAAATCCTTTTAAAAAGAGAAATAGGAGAAAAAGATTGTTCAAAAGTGAAGCCAGCTGTCAGTGGGCAAAGTGTTAAAGAAAAACAACTGGGTCCAAGAATAGACACAATTTATATACTCTACCCTCTTTTGTAGAAATGATTTCATTTATGTACTAGATGAGTTTCTGAAATGTTGATTCTAAATCAGTGTTTTTCAAGTTGAAGCCGATTTTAAGTGGTTTAAGGAATGTACTTATATAAGTAAATGTTGTAGTAATTCCTTTTGTAAAGTGTGGATGGAAAGTGGTATCTGCCAAATCAGTAACAGAGGGTGTTGCAGTCATCAAGCCCTCAGCCCCTGGTGCCCCACTCCCATCTGCTAATGTGTATCCTGAGTGGATTTAGAACACAGAGAAGCAGGATACTGGCCCTAGATAGTTAAGGTGCATATCAAAGGGATGATTTCTGAGTCCAGACTCTTGCATCTTCCAATACATAGAAAAACACTGAATTCATTAACTTGAGATGTCTGGTTTTTCTTTAATTAACAGAAATTAAATTCTTTAATTTAATCTTTCTTTTTGGAGATTTTTTTTTTGATGTGAACCATTTTTAAAGTCTTTATTTAATTTGTTACAATATTGCTTCTGTTTTATGTTTTGGTTTTCTGGCAGCAAGACATGTGGGATCTTAGTGCCCCAACCAGATCTCAAACCCATGCCCTCTGCAATGGAAGTCTGGTGTCTTAACCACTGAACTGCCACAGAAGGCCCAATAAGCAATTTATTAGAATAGGATGTGAGGTTTACAAGCAGGTGGGCAAAAGGATGCCACCCCAAGAACTTAGTGGGCTATATTTATCATCAAAGGAAGAGTGGAGAAGGGGAGAAGACCACTTTCTTCCTCATTCTTGAGTAGACATCAAGCTTCTATTATCAGTTCCTCTTCCATGTCAAGTGGGGTAGTTTTCTTGTCCCTACTTGGTCATACTAGGATTGTCATGACAAAATGGAAATGAGTAAAAAGGTGGTAATAGATACTAAAGAATGATAAATCATCTCAGATTTCAGTATAATGTCACCTTATATATATATATATATATATATATATATATATATATATATATATAGTCTCTCTCTATATATATTTAGTGTATCAAATGCAGCGTGTCCTAGGAATCATTAACTTACTGACCCCACTGGTCAGGATGTGGGTCTCATTCCATTATTGCTTGGGGTCTGTCCCATGTTTCTGTGGCACAGTTTTGTTGCTAAGCAAGCCTGCCTGGTTTTGTGGTTAAGCAAACCTGCTTTCTTGAGTGACCATTAACTTTAAGGAATCTCCCATGTGTTTTCTTTACTTATGATCCCTTAGTGGGGTTAACTGTTGAATCACCTACTTTGTCTCTATCATTATCACTGTGCTACTCTCCTACTGAATTCACCTCCCTCTGCACCAAAACAAGATTGTAAGTTCTGTGAAGACCGAAAAGAGGTCTCTCTCTCTCTCTCTCTTTTTTATATACAACTTCTCTATACTCCCAACCCATCCATCCACCCACATTCAAAAGCACTGAGGCTATTTTTGTTAAATCATGACAGATCAACTGATACAGAAGGTAGGGGTTTCAGAAACACATAGGGATTAGAATAAGCTGGGTTGTCAACTAACTGTAAAAACTAGCAGTAAGATTAGCTATAAAAAGAAAAAGGAGGCATGTGTAGGACCTGCAGCTGGCTCACTGATACCTCCCCACCAGCCCTCACCATCTGGGGCCTGGGGGCAGAGCTCCACATTGATGCTCTTGCTCACTTGCATGAGTTGCTGGGAAGAAATGTGCAACCTTGCCTGATAGGCTCTATGAGAGTCTGGTTTCCTAGTCTGGAAGTCTTCTGGGATGAGATTTATTTGTCTGAATGGCATGTGTTTCTTACCAATGGCCCCACCCTAACTATGCATCTCTGAAAAATTTAGTGAACAGAAGGGGTAGATGATATTTGCTCAGTTTTATCCTTAGGAATAAAAGCAAATGTCCCAAATTAAAAGCTGATCATTTACTTCCAGCTCTTCTAGGGCTCCCCATCACCTCAGAAGGAAGTCCAATGTCCTTTTTAAGGTCTTGTGCCTTCTAGCTCCTACCTCTTCCCTGTGCAGTGTCACCCCACACCATCCTATTCTGTCTTCTCTCCTCTGAGTCCTGGTATCGGCTATCCTGACTTCTCTCTCAAGGCTGGGAATTCTTTTCACCTTTCCCACTGCCCCTTTCTTATTCTTATCCTCAACTTTCATGTGTCAGTTTGAGTATGACTGCCATAGGAGATCCTACCTGGGACATAGGTTCTTGTGCTCCAAGTTCTCTCCAAGTCCCCCTGTCTCTTGCATCATATAGTAATTTGCCTTTAATGCCCAGCCTTCCTGAAGGCAGGGGCTGTGTTTGTCCTGTGGTCTTCCTGTCACGCCCATTGTCTGGCACAAGGGATACAAATCTTTGCTGAATGAAATGGATGAACAGGTGAACCAGGAAGGCCTTTGAAGCCGAAACTTAGGGGATCTCTTGAACTTTGTTTTCTTTATTTCTGGCAATTGCTGAAATGAACAGGGCCTATGGCTGGGAAAGGGGAAGGCCAGATACAGTAACAATGACAGGAGTATTTTTAAGCTCATGTATGGATGTGAGAGTTGGACTGTGAAGAAAGCTGAGTGCTGAAAAATTGATGCTTTTGAACTGTGGTGTTGGAGAAGACTCTTGAGAGTCCCTTGGATTGCAAGGAGATCCAACCAGTCCATCCTGAAGGAGATCAGTCCTGGGTGTTCATTGGAAGGACTGATGCTGAAGCTGAAACTCCTGATACTTTGGCCACCTGATGCGAAGAGTTGACTCATTGGAAAAGATCCTGATGCTGGGAGGGATTGGGGGCAGGAGGAGAAGGGGGCGACAGAGGATGAGATGGCTGGATGGCATCACCGACTCGATGGGCATGAGTTTGAGTAAACTCCGGGAGTTTATGATGGACAGGGAGACCTGGTGTGCTGCGATTTATGGGGTCGCAAAGAGTCAGACATGACTGAGCGACTGAACTGAACCGACTGAACCTCAGGCGCTCTAGGCTCTTTTTAAGAATTATCTCATTTGATCCCCACAATTGCTATTATTATCTCCACTCTGCAGCCAGTCATGGGTGGGGGGGTGGTGGTGAGAGATACTATTTGGGAAGGAAATCAAGATGTAAAGAAGGTGCTGAAAACTTCAAGTAGAAAGAAATGCAGGCTTAATCTGAGATTTGCTGGAAAAAAATGGAAAAAACCTCAGACTCTGGTTTCAGGTCTGGGAAGTGACTCTGGGATGCTTGGTTGACAATAGGGTTTACTCGGTGCTGACCAAATGCTGGCTGAGTGCTATATATGCATGCTTCATCCAATCTGCACAACAGCCCATTGAGGAGAGGAGCTTCAGAACAGTTATGACCTCCTCAGTGTCATACTGCTGGCTAATGGCAGAACCATAGTTTGAGCCCAGATTGACTTCTGTCTCGGTCACCTCTGGCTGGTATAACAAAATACCATAGGTTGGGTGGCTTTAACAACAGACATTTGTTTCTCACAGTTCTGGCAGCTGGAAAGTTTGAGGTCAGGATGCTAGCTGGTATGGTCAGGTTCTGGTGAGAGTTCTTTTTCCTGGTTTGCAGACAACTGCCTTCTTGACTTTTTGTTGTGTCCTCACATGGCCTTGGGGGTGGGAGTGGATAGAGAGAGCTCTTCCTTTGGGGTGGAAAAGAATCTCTTTCTTTTCTTTAAGGACACTAATCTCATTAAGGGAACTCTATTTTCATAATCTCATTGAAACAATCATCTTCTAAAGGTCTCACCTCTAAACACCATCCCATTGAGAATGAATCCACATATGAATCTTGGGAGGATGCAGACATTTGGTCCATGACTATCCTGAAGTCCACATGCTTACTGGGGGATTCCCAAATGGTCAATAAAGCATCAGTTCTGGTTTACTTCTTGAATTAGTTGAGTGCATTTACTTGATGCATTAAAGCTATATTAGGAGTTTATGGGCTTCCAAGGTGGCGCAGTGGTGAAGAATCTGCCTGCCAATGAAGGAAACGTGGGAGATACAGCTTTGATCCCTGGATCAGGAAGATCGGAGGAAATGGCAACCCACTCCAGTATTCTTGCCTGGAAAATTCCCTGAACGGAGGAGCCTGGGGAGCTACAGTCCATGGGGTCACAAAGAGTCAGACACAACTGAGCATACACACACACACACACACACACACACACACCACATATAGGGATTTATACAAACAATATACAGCTCAGATCAGCAAGTCCAAGTGTGTAAGGGCAATATAGGACCCACCTTTGTCCAGGTTTCCCTAGTAGCTCAGTTGGTAAAGCTCTGCCTGCAATGCTGGAGACCCAGGTTCGATTCCTGGGTTGGGAAGATTCCCTGGAGAAGAAAATGGCAACCCACTCCAGTATTCTTGCCTGGAGCCTGCCAGGTTCCTCTGTCCATGGGGTCGCAAGGGCAAGACACGACTTAGCGACTAAACCACCACCCTTTGTCCAGGTTGGAGACTGATGATTTTAACTGAGATTCTTCAATCTGGAGGACCCCAGAGAATCCCCTGAGTTCAGTCTAGTCTTCTGATCCCAGATATTTCTCGCTAGTGCATCAGGTAATTTTTCTGCTCTCTGGTTGAACCTCTCCCCTGTGACATCCACAAAATCTCTTCTACAAACACAAAAATTCTCTTTCTCAAGCTGAGTCTTCTCTCCTCAGTCAAATGCCCAAGGTCTCTTCTCTTTTCCAGTTTCTGACTCAAGAGCCATTTCATCTCTCCAGGTGGTCCATTTGCCCAGGATTTTCCTGATTTTAGCACAGAAAGTCCTGTGTCTTAGGCCTCTGAGTAAACTGGGATGTTTGATAACTCTATAACAGGAGAGGGCAGAAGAATGTTTTTTTCTCAAATACATACCATTTCTATAGCTCTTAATGAATACAGCCTGTCTCTGTGACAAACTTTTATCCTTGTTCCCGGAAATTGGCAGAGCTCAGTACTTTTGCAAAAGAAGTTGGCTAACTTTTCACGTCCGCATGTCCCCTTTTGGACACTAGATGGCAGCCTCTCCTCCTTGTCTAAAGAAAGACTGTGACTATCATTAATAGGCCTTTGGAAAGTGTTGGGGAAAATCATGCGGGAAAACTAAGGGCCAGAGGATTAAGAGAGAGAGAAGTGAAATTGTTTGCAAGACAGACTGGAATAAACAGATCAGTGTGAAACGGCATGTGGTAAAAAAAGCAAAAATAATCAGGTTCAGCTCAAAATCCTTCAAGTATTTAGAATTCAGGATGGGAAAAAAGGCTTTCTGTTCTACTGCAGAGTGGGTCTACTTTCACCATCTCATCTGAATAACATGCCCATTGTGAATATACTGTATAAAAAGGAGGAAAAAAGCTAACTGGAGTTAGAGAAAATAAATGTAGGGAACAGAGCACCTTCTGGGTTGACTTAACTACAGTTACTGGTTCTCTGGTTGAGAGCCACATGATACAGGAGACATCCCTTCCAGTGTGTGTAAGCAGGCCCTGGTGACTGGTTGAAGACAGGCTGGCAAGCTGGGGGAGAGGCCCCTCTGGAGGCTGGATGACTCATCCCACCTGCAGAGATCACACTTGCCATGAGCCTTGCTCATCCTCCTCCAAGCTCAATTTGTATTCTGAGAAAAGAACACAGTAGTGCTGAAGCTGGCAGGGGGGAGCAGGGGAAGGGATGGGAGGGGAGAATGGCATCATCTTGGGGTGGGTTACAACTGAATTTAAGTGGATTCACAATGTAAAGGTAAGAAATGGAATCTTCCCTGCCAATCCTTCCTGTAACACGGATGTCACAGTTATCAGCGATTGCAGCCCTCCAATATGAGCTGGTGAGCCCTAAGGGCGCTCAGGAAGGAGAAGAATACCTGTGATCTAGCAGCCATCAGACTGCAGCCACTCCCTATGGTGAGCTCCAAGGGAGCCTATGATGAGAAAACAGAGGATACTGGCCCCAGATAACTGAGATTCTTGTGAAAGGAATGATTTCAGTGAGCCCAGACTCTTGCATCTTCTCATACATACAAAAGCACTAAATTCCTTAACTTGAGATGTCTGGTTTTCTTTAATTAACAATAATTTTTTGATGTTCAGACTACCTGCCCTTTGTTGCAAACTTCTATATAACCTGGCTACTCATGCCTCCACCTCTTCCTTGGAGCAGTTCTCTCAGGGTTATTTCAGATGCTGTCTCCTGGGCTTGAAGTCCTAAAAATTCCCACCAAGTAAAACATAACTCTCAACCTTTAGGTTGTGAATATATTTTTTTTAAGTAGACAAGGGTTTTGTGAGTCCAAGGAATTTTTTTTTTCATGGAGAAAGTAGTATATGAGTAACTCTGGTTTTCTCGTTAAGCATCTGCCCCCTCCCCTTAAATCTCAGTAAATATTAATAATGAATACATGAGGCCCATAAATTATGCTACTGACACTGCCCATCCCCCTTGCCTTCAAAACCTTATTTGAGTTAAGCATTAACACACTGCTCTTCACAAGTCATACTCGTTAACCCAGAGTATGGTGGAGCTGGGCAGATGCCCAGTGGCCCAGTGATCCAGGGGTTTTTCAAACTGTTAGAGAGCCCTAGCTCTCCAGTTTCCCTAAAAAGTGATACATTTGATTCTGCACATGGAATAACTTTAAACTGTCTAAAGAAACTGTTACCACTTTTATCACTTTTATTATGGGCTCTGGAAAAATTTGGCTTGGAAAAA